GGAGGGCACATGGTCCTGCCAATGCCTTGATGTTGACCCAGAGAAACTGATTTCGGACTTCTGGCCTTCAGAATGGCATGAGGCTAAATAGATCTCCGTTTTGAGCTGCCATGTTTTTGGCAATTTGTTCCAGCAGCCACAGCAAGGAAATAGAACAACTGACTGTCTCAGGCAGGGTTCTTGGGTGGCCAGCAAGGCAAATTCCCTCTGGCTAATCACCCTAGTAGGAAAGCAGCTCGGGGCTCCATGCCTTGGAGAGCGCTAAGAACTGATGGTGTTTAGTAAGGCAAGGCGTCTATCTGGGCAGAAGCTCCCACTGATGTGTTGTTAGCAGGTTACGCAGAAATGATAAAGCTCCTGCAATGTGTTCTCTTTATCAGGCATGTTTTATGTATCAGGCCTACTCGAAGACCTTTACGTACCTCTTAATCCTCCTGAAAGCCTGGGATGGCCTGGCTAAGCCACTCATCTAAGGTGACACAGTGACTGGCTGAAGAAATCCCAGGATTCCTACCACATCAGACCTTTTTCCATTGCCTCAACCTGGCTCCTTTTTAGAAGTGCAAATAAGATCTGTTTAACACTGAACTCTGAGACAAGGGGAACAGAGAGCCAAGATTTAATGGAATTTCTAAAAGCCCAGTTCTCCATATTCAGATGTCCTCAAACCATGGAAGAAAACCTCATGCTTCAGGAGCTTTTAGCATCGCATGAGTCATGCATTCGGGACCTTACCGCCGGCCTGACGCCTTTCTGCCAACTCAGGGCTTCTGTGAGCATCCTCTTTTTTTTTTTTTTTTAAAGATTTTATTTATTTGAGAGAGAGAGAGAGAATGAGAGAGAGAACACAAGAGGGGGGAGGGTCAGAGGGAGAAGCAGACTCCTTGCTGAACAGGGAGCCCGATGCGGGGCTCGATCCCGGGACTCCAGGATCATGACCTGAGCCGAAGGCAGTCGCTTAACCAACTGAGCCACCCAGGCGCCCCTGTGAGCATCCTCTTGAAGGTTAGGGAGGTGCGTCTAGATCCAGCCTGACCTGTAATAATCCAGTCTTTTACTTACGTGTGCCTCTCGGTTTTTCCATCTCCTCCTCCTGCTAGCAAACGGAACATGCACTGTTTTAGAGAATCAAGCCTCACCATGAAGGGCTGATACTGAGCGTGTATATTCTCCTGTATCAGCCCCAGACTTATTTCATCTCAGTTAGAACCTGACAGCGAGTTCTCCCGGCGAGGTCCCTCCCCGAGCCCATCAGCAGCCCGGGGTTTATGAATCACCCCACCCATGGCTTATGCCGCCACACAACAGCAAACTAAACAAATTCCTTCCACGTTAGCCGGAGGGTTAAAAAAAGAAGTGTGCTCTGCAGGAGATATAATTTTGAACCGAGCCCTAGAAAGAGAATAAAAAGGAAGCCAGACCTCAGTCAACCGCGTGCAGAGGGGCCCGACTGACTTCCTTGCTTTGTGACTTCTGATGTGGCAGCCTCCGAGGAGGGGCTTTCCACAGAACGCTGAGGGGTCCAGGCCAGAATGTGGGGGCCAAGGTGCAGAACTCTCTCGAATGTGGCCAAGGACCGAAATTCACTGCCAGGAAGGCTGTTGCTCTGAGTTCTGTACGGAAATGCCCCCTCGCAGGGGGTGGAGCTGGGAGAGGGGCTCCCGCATCTTCTTGCACCTCTCACCCCTTCCTCCTCGTAATAAGTTACTGAGTCCTTGAGGCTTCCAGCAGGCTCCACGAAGCTGCGAAGTCCGAGCAAGGTGCACCGGTGGCCCGGACCAGCAAACACCTGACAGTCTTCAAACTGAAGTTGAGGGATGAGAGAGCAGCCCGGCCTACCTCTGGGGAAAGGTGGAGGGACACACTTTGTGGCTTTGAGTCTGTACTCTGTCTTAGCGGATTCCTGTCTGCACTCAAGCTTGTGTGCCCTCAGGGAAACAGAAGCCCCACGCAGCAGAACCTATGCTCCTTGGAAGGCCATGTCCTAACTGTCGGTCTCATGCCCCTGGGGGGCTCCTGGGTGGTGTGATTGCACCCATCTGATGTCTCTGTCCCCTCCTACCCCCAGGGCCTCTGAGCCCAGGCGCACCCGGCTCCTCACTGCCCCAGCCTGCTCTCCTCCTCCTCTTCCTCCCTCAGAGAACGAGCAGAGGTTGGCTCTCTCTTCTCTCGCCCAACGGCCGCTCAACGGCCGACACGGCACAGAATGGTTGAATCCCCACTGACTCCCAAATTCACCTCTGAGCCACGGGCAGTACCTTTTAAATGCAGCGAGGAGTTTAGCAGAACATTTTACTTGTCCAAGTGACAATATTTGCAGTGATAAAAAAAAATAAACAAAACTCAGCAATTAGAAGTTTAGGAAAATCCCATCTTGTAGGAGAATCATGATGTACTGGGCTGAATGGTGCTCCCTCCAAAAGGCCTGTCTACCTGGGAACCTCAGAATGTGACCTTATTTGGAAATCGGGTCTTTGTGGATGTAATTCATTAAGGAAGGTCGTCCTGGATTTAGGGCAGGCCCGACATCCAATGCCTGGTGTCCTTATAAGAAGGCCATGTGAGGACGCAGAACGCACAGAGGAGGATGCCAGGTGACCACACAGACGGAGATTTCAGTGATGAGTCTACAAGCCAAGGAGTGCCAACGGTTGTTGGCATCCCCCAGAAGCTAGGAGCTGCCTGGACTAGATGCTTCCTTGGAGCCTCCAGAAGGAACTGCGCCTGCCCACACCTTGATTTCAGATTTCTGGCCTCCAGAACCGTGAGAGAATAATTTCTGTTGTTTTAAGACAACCAGTTTGTGGTGATTTGTCATGGCAGCCCTGGGAAACTCATACACAGGGTCATCAGATGCATGGGCTATGTCCCACAGCACAGTGGATTTCTTTTTTTACCCATTTTCTCACAAAGCCCACAACCACAGAAAGGAACCACCTCAATGACTCTCATCCCTGAGTGTCGGTAACGCAATGCAGAAGGCAGCATCACTCACCCAAATTGGATGGCCTGAGAATTTTCTAGTCTGTAAGAAGCAGCATTTTCGTGACTGAAAATGGTATTATAGGGCAGTGGGGATCCTTTTTCCTTAATTCTAGTCATTTGGTGGCTGAAAAATCTTTTGCAGCAGAAAATTTAAATGATAGCTTGAATGTTTGATTTTTCCAAGGTTAGGATGCTCCAAGGTTTGATTTTTCCAAGGTTAGGAGCATGTTGGGGCCTCCTGTCCGGGGACCTCACTGGCTTTTGCATCTTGCAAGTACCCCCACCTGCTGAGTTGGGGGTAACAGAAAACCCTACAGGAAAGAGCCATGGGCCCCAGTCACAGCTCGGGCACGTCTTTGGGCTGCTGAAAGGGAAAGAACAGTGTTGGACAAGGTGACTTCACCTACAACGAACTGAAGCTGTTGGACAGCACACCTCCCCCACTCCCCCCTCCCCCGCACCAGCCGCCCCAAACTCCGGCCCTTTAAACTCATCTCTTCGCAAATCCAGACCCAAGCAATCAGATTTGTGTGTGTAAATTTTCCCATTTTATAGACAAGAGGGTGGGAATTCAGTGGGGTTGAAATTCTTCCTTTCAAAAACCTGATGAGCTTCTCTGGAATGCCAGCCTTCCGGAAGCTTCTCTGCTCAGTGCCTGTTAATCCTCTATTGAGAGCTGATAATGAGGTTGGGGTGTTTTTTCTTTAGATGGATAAAAGGAGAATTACTTTCTTTTTTTTCTGGCCTGTAATGTCTAGGCAAGTTATTTTTTTGCCCATTAAAAAGTGTCATTGTTTACCATATTGGTTTTCACGTTTCACAAGATGATTAATAATTACACTTTCTTTGTTTAAAAAAAAAAAGGTAGGGGGAAGCTTCTCCCCTCAGACGATTGAGTGTGTCCTGAAGATAAGCCTGACTCAAAGTTCCACACTCTTCTTTCTTTTCTCTCCTGTTTGTTTTCCTTCTCAGCCTGAGTCTGTGAAGCCGACTTTGCACCTGCTGCTGAAGCAGATGACATATTACTGTCCCAGCTAAAGCAAACAGCGCTTGCGTTTGGTTTTAATGTGACCACCTCCGATGGACGGATGGGCTGAGAACACTCAACAGAAGCTTTTTTTTTTGCTTCCAAAATTCCTTTGAGGCAAGTAGAGGTAAACATTTTCACCCTCAACCAGCGGAGGAAATGTAGTAGAACAGGATTAGTGAGGAAGTGGGGGGTGGGGGACAAGAGCCTCTGGAATCCTTTCTGTGCTTCAATAAAAGGTCACAAAGCCCTCTGTGTTCTCTGCCTCCTGAGGGTCCAGACCAGAATTCCTTTTTATCTGAGTCATCTGGCCCCGCCCTGTCCACTGGCCGCAGGTGCAGAGTGAGCATCTGAAATGTGGCTGCTGTGAACCCAAGTGTTCTCTAAATATAAAGTTGGTACCAGGTGTCAGAGACTTAGTACCAAGCATATGGCATTAATAGTATTTTTGAGGGGTGCCTGGGTGGCTCAGTCGGTTAAGCGTCTGCCTTCAGCTCAGGTCATGATCTCAGGGTCCTGGGATCGAGTCCCGCATCGGGCCCCCTGCTCAGTGGGGAGCCTGCTTCTCCCTCTCCCTCTGCCGCTACCCCTCTAGCTTGTGCTCTCTCTCTCTGTCAAATAAATAAATAAAATCTTAAAAAATAATAATATTTTTGAGTGGATTGCCCCCTGACACACAAAGCATTTGGCTTTGCTTTTTGTTGATTATCCGATTTGCAGACTCCTGGAAAGCACGCCTCCCAAAGTGCAGCAAAGGATGCGGATCTCCTGACACCCCACGCGAAGCTGAAGGGGTCGGGGCCAAACGCAGTTGGGAAGAGCCCTGGCAGAGTTCCACTGGGGATTTGAAAAGAGGTGAGCAAATACGAGGCTCCTGAGTAAAGTCTTACAAAGAAGAAACGTGTCTAATTTTGTCACTGTGGCATTTCAGAAATGTGTGCCCGCAGGACTCCTAGCTCGTCCTTTTTAAACGCTGGCCTCACAGCAGTGATCGTGTCAAGCAAGTACTATTCAGCAGGTCCAGCAAGGCTAGTGTGTAAGGACTTGAACAGCTTCACGGGACAAAGGAACACCCCGTGGAAACGTGGGGCAAAGCCTGAGACCCTCAGTCCAAAGGTAAGAACTCCGTTTAATCGATGGGTTACAGTAAGAGCGTGTTGGGGCTTCCTGTCTGGGGACCCCCCTGGCTTTTGCATCTTGCAAGCATGGCCCAGCTGCAGTGACAGTCTGTCCCCTTGCCTGTGCATCCCTGTAGGAGCTCCTACACCTCCCTCTAAGCGCCTTAAAATCAATGAAAGGAGCACTATAGCAGTAAAGAAGGAAGAGGAGTTTTACATTCAAAATCATTTTGTTGGCTCGACATCTTTCTCAACCACAACCAGAAGGTCGGGTAAGTAGAGATGACCATCTCCGTGTCACAGAATGAGTCTTTAGCCTGAACCTCTGTGGGCTTGCATGTCATGGGGCCTTTTGAATCTTAAAAGCAGAGCTGGGGGGGCGGTGCTGGACAGAGTCACCGCTAAGGAGAACAGGTGAAAATTCAAGCCCAGGTTAGGAGGGGTGATTTATAAGCCTTGGGGAGGGTCATCTGCAGGCATTTCAAATATCCCAAGAGGACCTGTTGGCTTCATCTCCTTTTTTTCCCAGTGCTGGGCTAGGAGGGAGGTGTGCACTGTTGGGTTAAGAAATGGAAACGCAGTGCGTTGGAATTCTTTCTTCATATCCTGAAGTTTGCTTGTATTTTGAAAAACCAACAAACAAAAAACAGTTTTATATATGGTTTTATAGTTAATAAGTGTAATTGTTAAAATAGGGAGGACAAAAATCATACTTCAGAGGATTTACACTTTTGCCTTTCTAATGCATATACAGATATTTAAAAAATTTTTTTCTAGTTGACTTTTACTTCCCAAAGATCTGAACAGAATTGAAAGATGAAAGACCATGATGCTGTCTGATCACCACGCATGCTTCTCTCTGACAAGCTTGGAGACATTTGGACTCACGGCTCCTTCCCATCTGATTTATTATGCTCTTTGACTTTGGGCAACATCCCGCAAACTCAACTCTTAATTACATAGGCTCTTTCTGGGTTGTGAACAAAACCACAAATGTTATTTTCTCCCCATATGGGTTGAAACATCCAGAATGATGTCCAGATTTACCACAATACTGTGGGCTGGCTGGTTTACCTTGTGGCACTGCTGTCTGCCAAAATGTGTTGGTGTCTCATGTTGTCTAACACCCGGGCACCTTATGGCCTTCCAGCTCACAGCCTTCCTTTCCTCAACAAGTGCCCCCACATGGCAGTCCTGTGGGTGACCCAGCCATCTCACGGGGCTTGAGTCCCGTGGCTCTAGCTTCCTTCCCCTTTGTGTCATTTTAGGGCTCATATTCATGGCTAAACCAGGGATCTCGTGATGGGCTGAATTGCACCAGCCCCAGTGTCTTGCTCACTTCCCACAGATGATGCCAACTATGGGGTAGTCGCATCTTATCAGCTTTTATGAGGGGACAGTGGTACAGTCAACAGCAAGATGGCGGAAACCTAGCAGTCCCTGTGTTGGGTAAACCTCCTAAGAGCTTCCCTAAGAGGGAAGATGGGTTTGAAATCCTTGAATGAATTCATGCTCTTTTCTTGAAATACACTGAGTTGTGGTAACTTCCTGGAGAGCAGGGTCCCTGCCTTATGCTGGTTTTCCTTGTGCCCTATTGAGCCCCTTGCATGGATTTGAGGATCTTGGGTATTGAGTTCATTGCTGGGACAGAAGAAAGGTCTTTGGATGTTTCTTGTTGAGTTCTGTTTCTGTTCCCTGGTACACAGACATGACGGTGGCGGGGGGACACGGAAAACTAAGCAGACTGTTCATTGGTGTCAATTTTATACTGTCTTTCATCTGCCTAGGAACAATGGTATCTGTTCCAAAGGGACAGAATAGGAAATTTAATTAATGTGTTTAAAATTCAAACCCAAAATACAAGGATGTGTAAGCCTTAAGAAAACTAACTCTTTGAATCCAAATTCACAGGAAAATTATTTGTATCAGGATGAGGATGAGTTTATCTATTGTGCTTGATGGAATTTGCCTGAGGAAAGAACCAGCCCCCCTGCTAGATGTCAGTCCAACACTGAATTGCAGGTTGAAGCTTGTTGGATGATTACAGAATTGAGGCATTATGGTCCTCACCCTTCCTAAGGGGCATTTTAATTCTCTATAATGGATCAATTGCCTTTATTCTCCTTCAAGGAGTTTTTACACATACAACCTGGTCTGTTCCATCTCCTGGAATCAGTGTTTCTGCCCTTTGGCAAAGCTGCTTGCAAAGGCTTACTGTTTTTTTTCCTTCAGATTCAATGTCAACTGCTGCTTATTCAATTTCTAAATAAGCAAATATATGTGTGTGTGTATGTTCGCATAGCTTTATTGATCTATAATTTACATATCATAAAAATTTGATATTTTGCATATACACGAGTACACGATTTAATAGTACTTAGATTTATGGAATTGTGCAGCCACCAGCACAATTCTGTTGTAGAATATTTCCAGCCCTCAGAAAGCTTCCTCTTACCCCCTCCCCGTTAGTTCCCACGTTCACCCTTCCCCTGGGCAACCCTGGTCTGCCTCTGTCCCTGGAGATTTGTCTTTCCCAGACATTTTGTATAAGTGGAAAAATATAATCTGTAGAGTTGTTTTCTGTCTTTTTATTTCATTTAGCATTATGCTCTTGAGGTTGGTCAAGTTGTAGCATGCATAATTCCTTTTTATTGCTGAATGTATTCCATTGTGTGGACGTACTACATTTGGTTGAGAAAAGCATATTTTGAATAGAAACTGACACCGGGATAGATAGGTTGGGAGTCCAGAGAAAATCTGAGACACGGTGCCTGCTCTGAAGGTCCTTAACATTGCATTGGAGAGGTAAAATGAAGACATATGGAGCAATAAAAGAAAAATTTGTAGTTATGAGGGGTGAGGATGTTAACTAGACTCATGGCAATCATCTCACAATATAAACAAATATCGAATCACAATATATACAAATATCAAATTGTACACCTGAAACTAATCCAATGTTATATGTCAGTTATGATAAAGAAAATCTGTGTCTTAAGATGGCCAACTGAGCCAGCGAGAGAGTCCCAGTCCTTGCCCTGGGGCTCTTCTGGGTTATTCTCCCTGCTCGGTTTCCCGGGCTCACCAATCCGGGTTCTTCTCCCTGCCCCGCTTTGTGCACGCGCCAAAAGTGCCAAGTATGCGGAAGTAGAAATGTATAAATTGCCCCCTTTGTGCTCAGGGCTCAGAACTTTGGAGACCACTCTCCTCTGAGCCCACCAGCGTTAAATAAACCTCCTATCCGCCAAGATCTCCGAGTGCCGCTTGGTTCTTCCATGGGGTGATCCAGTCCAGGTTCCGTAACAGTTACACCTCGCTAAAAAAAGAAAAAGACCTGGAAGAGAAAAGTAACGTTAAAAAGTAGTGTTTAAGACAGTGTTTAAGATAGTGTTTAAGACTGGCAGAGCGATGGGACATGGAGTGCAGTGGAGAAAGTTTGAGTCAGACATCAGTTGGATGATCCTAGAACAGATTCTGGTGAGGGACTGAGGAGAGGAATGCAGACGGGCTGTCTGGCTCAGACTCACCATGGCCACTCTCCCCCAGGGTCTTCTTCGCCCCCCACACACGTAGGGGTTGCTCACAGGCCTGAAGATGCACCAACCTCCCCCTCCTCAAGGCCCCACTTGCTGCTGGAGCCCTGGCACAGCTCTCAACACTCCTCCCCACTCCTCAAAGCATCCACCCTGCCATTCACTACTTCGTCTCCCTACTCATGTTCTTCCCGAGCACTTACCATTTAGCAGAAGCCATGATGATCTCACTTTCCGGCTTCTTTTCTACACCAAACCTCAGGCTTCTACCTTCCTTATTCCTTATTTAATCCCTGTGTCCAGTACAGTGCCTGGCTTAACTCAAAAACTATTTGCTGAATGCATGCAACTTGCACATGAGAGATTGCACAAGGAAAGTAGTGAGGTTTTACACAATGAAGAGGCTGGGTCAATTAAAGTTCTCAGTAAGCCTGGTGCTATCATCAAAGACAGGGCAATAGGGGCGCTGGCGGGGGCTTCTGCAGCAATGTGGGGAACTCTGCGTAAACACATGGCATCTCTGCTAATGTAGTGGACGATCACCAGAAAGAGCCCAATAGGAGACCGAGGACAGGAACAGAGAGAAGACAGGATGGAGAAAAAGGGAGAGCAGGTATATTTCATATGACAGAAAAAATAGAAACCATCCAGAGGGTAGATGGATCCCAAGAGAGCTGCAAAGGGAGGGAGCCAGGGTCAAGGCCAGAGGGAGGAGGTAGTACATCCACAGAGGTGTGAGGAACAGGAATAGGCCTGGTGCTCCTTCTCCCCGGCAGCTTAAGCCCGTCATAGACTCTGCGTATCTTCCAAGCTGCATAGACCTCTACCCCCACCTTATCTGCTCCGAAACTTTACAGATTACTTAAGAGCTAGCAGGAGCTTATAAGGCATTTTGTCCAATGTCCTTATTTTGCAGATGAGAAACTTCGAGAGAGAGAAATGTTTACCCAGTTAGTGGCAGAGGTAGGTCTGTAATCTGACTTCCTGTGGGAAGAGGTTACAGGGTTGGAGGCAGAGGTGGGTCTGCTACCTGTCTTCCCGACTTCTCAATACAGTTTCCTCTTCATTTCTCCATATTTCTTAGACTTTGAATTAAAACAACCATATTTGGAATATCCCAAACATCTGTCTAATGTCTGTAAGATTCATTCCTCTCAGGTTTTCTGGCAATCCCTGGGGAGAGAAAACAGTGGACACAGAGTGACATGCAATTATTTCAATATTGGAACCATGTCTTGAGGAATCCAGTAAGCTAAGTGAAGAATCTAAGCTGGTCCACAAACTATGATTAAACAGGATCTTTTCTGCATGATCGACACCGAATCCAACTTTGTCAGTGAGCTAACATCCAGGGGAGCTAGTTATCTTGATTTTAATAAACCCCAGAGACTAAGCTTCCGGCATTGGCTACTTGACAGAGTCAACTAATGTGAAATGCCTCCAGCTACAAATATCTAAAAATGTTAGCTAAAATATGACAAAGTTTATTTAAAATATGTAATTGAATTAACAAACAAGAAAGAGAGACCCTCGGATGCTAGAGGCAAAGAGGGAACCAAAGATCAATATAGCGTGATTCGCAGTCATACTCAGGAGAGGTGGGAATAGGGAGTTAATCCACCCAAAAACACACCCTGCTACCCGAGCCTTTGTTCTCACTCGGTGAAGACAGTACATGAGATTTGGGGTAGAAACTTGAACTCAGACCTCTGCATAAAGCTGAGATTCTTGAAACTCAGCCCCCTTAATGAAGAGGACACAAAAAACTCCACCCACCAACGAAACTCTGTCTAGGGATCTGAAAAGGAATAAAGTAAGTCTGGGTTGATATTATCTACGTGGTGCAGCAATCCCAAGGTTGAGCTTGTAACATATAAATTGATCCTGCATTGATTATACCCCTGGAAGCGATTCAAGACCTTGAGATAATGGAATTATCTGGGAAAAAAAAAAACCCCAGAAAAAATTAGTATGCTCAAAGCTATGAAAGCACTTTTACAGAAGGGATGGACTATTAGGAAGGATAATGCATGTTGAAAACAGAACAAGCTGATTGGTAAAAGAAATGCTAGAAACGTGAAGGGTAGTCTGAATGGAGGGTAGAACAATGATTCAGTTAAGCTCCTGTTCCTAATCTGTGACTAAATGTTCCTTTCATCTTTTAGTTTCATTAAAACTCATTTAAAAAATTATCCAGGGAGAGCCTGGCTGGCTCAATCAGTAGAGCATGTGACTCTTGATCTTGGGGTCATGAGTTCAAGCCCCACACTGGGCGCAGAGCCTAGTTAAAAAAAAAAAAAAGAAATTAATACAAATAAATCAGTAATCACAGTAAGCATGAACAAAGATACCTCAATAGTTAAGAGTCATATTAGCTCAGATTAGAGAAAATAAATTCTAGAGCAGGTTGTTTTCTCCTTTCTATCATTCAGAGGAACTCATAAAATACAATCTGTTGGTGCACTACAGTGTTTTGAGCAGGGAGCACCCCGGCAAGAGTCAGATCTGACACAGTTGAGTTTGCTATGGCCGCTCGCAGGCTCGGAGCCGTGGACGATGAACTACGTGAAGTCAGGAACTGGCTCCAGCATTTTCTGGTTTTGTAACCATGGGCAAGCTCCTGAGTTTCTCATTTGTAAAACTGAGGGGATTTCTTCCCCTTCACCTCATCACTTGACACAGTCCCATAAAAAGACTAATGTGGGAAGACCACAATCAAGTTCTACACAAAAACCCAAGTTCCGAGGTCTAAACTACAATCTAGCTGTTCACTGCTAGAAGGCAACAAGTGACTCTTGGTATTTTTCAGTCTTGCTTTTACCTGCCATTAAAAACCATCCTGGCCCTATCAGGACACCTTAGAACCAGTTTTGTTTTTGTTTTGTTTCTGTTTTTGTTTTTGTTTTTGTTTTGTTTTTAGAGGGGGAAAGAGAGGAGAGGCAGAGGGAGATGGAGAGAGAATCTCAAGCAGACTCAGTGCTGGGTGCAGAGCCCTACTTAGGGCTTGCCTATGACCTTGAGATCATGACCTGAACCAAAATCAGGAGCCGGACTCCCAACCAACTGAGCGCCCCAGGTGCCCCAAGGACACCTTAGAACCAGTTTTAATTTACATGCCACTTTCCTCTCTTTGCATTGCAAATCCACGCAGCAGGATGAGGAAGTCAGTATGCCAAGGCCCCAATCACCGCACATGTAGACCACTTCGCTGCCAAACCCGAGTGCCACTGTGGGGCCAAGGTAGGGTGCGAGGTCGGGGGGAGGGGGGCAGGGACAGTCTCCCTCCCAAACCTCTGCTCCTCCTGCCATGTCTGTGTTCCAGGTTCTGCAAGAGATCATCAAAGACTCTGGGAAACTTGATTAGCTTGTTTATCCACAAGTGTGAGGCTCAGTACATCCTAACTTCCCCTAGAAGTTCTTCTTCCCTTTAATCGGCTAAGTTCCTCCGGGAGTTCATCCCAGCCGGCCAGTTCTGCACCTCCAGCACACAGCCCAGAGCAGCCTGTCCCTCCGCACGGACACGCCAGGTTTTATGAGAAATAAATCAATCCTACCTTCGGGACTGCATCGATGAGCCCCGTCTGCCAATGCCTGACCATGCCGTAGGACCCTTTCTATAGCTGGGTTGGCCTTTCTAGAAGGAACTGGGTGAGGGTGGGCGAATCTCACAGAGTGCAGATACTGAGTTAGGGCAGCTTCCTCAAAGTTCAGATCCTATCTCGTTCTTACTCAAGTCTTCTCAATCCGCAGAATTCGCTGGAACCACCAGCAAAAAGCTCACACAAGGGACTGTTAGCCCAGGAACACTCTACTTATAAAATAGGAAGGAAAAAAAACCTTCGCGATTTCAGTTTCAAGAAAGGTCACTCTTATGAGATCAGGCTACATTCATGCAGAGTTTAAGTGAGTCATTATAAGCACACGACAAGTGTCAGCTCCAAGTGTTATGAACTTGCTACTTACAAATATTGCCCAGAACCACTGTGCATGTGAACCACCCCCCCACCCCCACACGAGCTTTCCTTTTCATTGCTTTTAATTAGGTTTGCAGCTTGTTTAGAAATCCCAAATTCTTACCAGATTTTAAAGGAAAATGAACCTTTTAGAAAACTTAAAATGTGAGCTTTTTATTTCTTTAAAAATAAACAGATTTAGAGGTGTTAGTTATGGGGCATAATCTTTCATGGTGATTTTCAATTTATAATAGAAATAGCAGAAATGTAAGCCCCTCTACTTCGTAGTATAGGGGCGTACGTGTTAGAGCTGAGTCCAGGGTGGAATTCCCCTACTTGGCTCCTCTAGAAATTGGAAACGAAA